TGACTGGTTTGGATTTAATCGGTTGGTTGTGTGGAGTTTGGGCTTTGAGACAGCCATGGAAGTTCTGTCTTCGCAAGTTCGCCAGGCGAAAGGCAGCGAAGCTTCGCCAGGCGAAGCCCAGCGAACTGTAGCGAAGCAAGTCAGAAGCTAATACCCTGTATTCGCTGGCAAGTTCGCCAGGCGAGGTGAGTTGGCGAAGGTTCGCCAGGCGAATGGGTAGCGAGCCTCAACGAGTAATTCCAGAATTACTCCCAGTGGACTTCGCTGGGGAGTTCGCCAGGCGAAGGCCAGCGAGCATTCGCTGCGTGGCTTCGCCAGGCGAAGGTTGGCGAACCTGGCAGTGTTATTTGTTTTGCTGTTTGTTCATGGCATGATGTTTGGTTGATTCAATTATGATTAATGCCTATATGAATGATTGATGTGTGAACTGTTTCAACATGTTGTGCTGTGGGTGGCCGAAAGGCATGAATCCTAGATTGTGGAGCCGATTGTGAATCTTAATCGTTTGATAATGTTGTGCGTTTGCTCGAATTAGATAGAAATGCATTGATGGATTAATAGGTATGTAAACCTTGTGTGAAATGGTGTATAATGTGAATGCATAATGAATATATGTGATGTATGTGATAAATGCAATGAGTATGTTTGTGAACATAGTATGCATTTTTGTGATTGATCCCGTGGAGGATTTGTAGAACCTCGTATGATACGATGGTTATATTTGATTCCGTGGAGAATCGGTTGCATTGTGTGATTCCTCGGAGAATCGGTCATAACATGTAATCCCGTGGAGGATTGGTTAGAGTATTTGATTCCGTGGAGAATCTGCTGAGTACTTGATCCCGTGGAGGATCTGCTGAATATTCGATTCCGTGGAGAATCTGATGAATATTTGATTCCGTGGAGAATCTGCTGAGTACTTGATCCCGTGGAGGATCTGCTGAATACTCGATTCCTTAGGGAATTTGTTGAATGAGTCGGTACCGCATTTGCATCTGCATAGAGTCGTGTGTCGGTCTCTATGAGTTGCATGAGTCATCTGTGTATGATGCATTGGTTGTGTGAATATAACTGTGTATGTTTTATGTGATTGTTTGGAGAAAATATAGTGAATGTTCATGTGTATGTGTAGAGACATGATTATTTGTATATGTTTAACGTGGTGAGAACATAATTTGAGTATAACTTGTACAAATGTGAGTATATGTATATATACAATTTTATGCATTAACTGTTATGATGTTGTTTCTCACCCTTCTGCTGTTTTCTAATGCTCTATGAGGCATTGCAGAGTAGGAAGCTGGAGGTTCTTTTTGTGAAGCGATGTCTTCATTCTTTTTGGTCAATGGCTCTGATATGTAACATCTGGGTAGTTAGGAAGCCTTTGACTCTTTTGGAGTCACCTTTGTTTTGATTCTTTTGTGATGCATATGTGTATGTATCTGCTGTGGATATGTTGTAAAGCATGAATTAACTGATGGTTGTATATAAGTTTATGAATGTGATCGATTCAATATTTGGATGTTTCCGCTTTATTCTAAATATTGTGATGTGGGTTACCCATTGTTGCATATCTATTTTGAGCAGGTATCGTATGTGTTTAATTTCATGATAATGTGATGCGCCTCTTTTATACCATGTTTTAATCAAACTCTGATGAAATAAATTTTCTATGTGCCTAATTGATTTATCTAATTTATTTGGGGTATAGAAAGGGGGTGTTACAAGCTACTTTTGTTCCAGGCCAAAACATCCACAACCATATTCTGTTAGCTTATGAATTACTTAAAGGCTATTATAGGAAAGGTGGTACTCCTAGAACCATGATTCAAATTGACCTTCATAAGGCTTATGACATTGTCAATTGGAAAGCTTTGAAGTGTATTTTGAAGGAAATTGGGATCCTTAGCCAATTTATCAAGTGGCTTATGGCAGGAGTCACTACTGTTTCTTATAAGTTCAACATCAATGGTGAATATACTGAGTTTTTACAGGCCAAGATAGGGATCAGGCAGGGGGAACCCATCTCCCATCTCCTCTTTGTTATCCTTATGAAGTATATGCATAAATCCTTGGTTAAGATGCAGAAAAATGAAAATTTTAATCATCATGCCAAATGTGAAAGTTTGAGCCTCACAAACCTCACTTTTGCAGATGATGTACTGTTATTTTGCAAGGGTGATGCTATTTCTGTGGATCTGATGATGGGAGCTTTCAAAAGATTCTTCGAATCTACAGGTTTGGTGGTCAACCACAGCAAATGTAAGATATTTTTTGGAGGTATTGATGACAGTAGTAAGGAGAACCTCAAGAATTTGACTGGTTTTCAGGAGGGGTATTTGCCCATCAAGTATTTGGGAGTCCCTTTATCCAACAAAAAGATCAACATTAATCATTACATGCCCTTGGTGGACAAAATTGTTTGGTGTGTGCATCACTAGTCAACCAAGCTACTAAGCTATGCAGGTAGAATCCAGTTGGTGAAAAGTATATCTAGTGCTATTACTCAATACTGGATGCATTGTTTCCCCATTCCTAAGTATGTGATCAGGAAGATTGATACTATTTGTAAAAGATTCATCTGGATAGGTTAGAATGAGATTAATAGGAAGAGTCTTGTGGCCTGGAAGAAAGTTTGTAGATCCAAGAACCAGGGTGGAATGCAGATCATCAATTTGGCTATTTGGAATAAGGTCTTAATGCTGAAGTGTCTTTGGAATCTTTGCAGGAGGTCTGATAACATGTGGGTGAAATGGGTCCACAATTATTACATAAAAGATTATGCTGTGATGGATTATGAGATTAAACCTCATAATTCTTGGATCCTTAAAAGTAGCATGAACTAGACAGAGGACTTGGGTATTTTGCAGCAGGTTTGGGATAATACAATGCTCAAACAGAAATTCAAAATCAAACCTTTCTATGCAGTGCTCAATGAAGATAATCATATAGTGTCTTGGAGGAATCTCATCAAGTATAATAAAGCTAGGCATAGAGCTATCATGTGTTTATGGCTTACTTGTCATGGAAAGCTTGCTACCAAAGACAGGTTGAAGCGATTTAGCTTGGTGCATGATAGTTTGTATGGTTTATGTAAGATGGGAGATGAGTCCCCCAACCATCTTTTCTTCTGTTGCAGCAAGACTAAGGGCATATGAAGTGAAATTCTCAATTGGGTAGAAGTGAACCATGTCCCCCAAAAGTGGGATGATGAGCTAATTTGGACTACTAATATTACTAAAGAAAAATGGTGGAGGCCTGCTCTCATGAAGATGATTGTGGCAGAAACAATATATTGCATTTGGAACTATAAGAATGATGTTGTTTTTGAAAATAATGTGAATAATACGAGTGTAGTTACTAAGATCATAGATAGTGTGGTTTACAGGGGATGACAACATAGTAAAGTTAGAAACTATTTTGTAAAGTTGATGCTGCCATTAGTCTTTGTTGGTTTGGTTGGATCCTTGGGATCACCGTGTTTTAAAATTTTTTTTTGAATATATATATATATATATATATATATATATATATATATATATATATATATATATATATATATATATATATATATATATATATATATATATATATATATCTTGATTAAAAAAAAGTTATACACATGATTTTCTATTTATATTATATATGAGAAAAATTATTAAATTAAAAAAAAGTATGTGTTAATATCAGTAAATACCCGTGAGTATCTCAAATACTCGTCTATCAAATATTCGCATAAATATAAAATTGATACATATATATGAGCAGGTAAGATAAATATTCATATTTATGGCCAACCATTGACATCCCTAAGAGCATAATTATCATAAAAGGCTATGTGTACTATTTGGTGTCAGAGTAGCATAGATAATAAAGACTATTTGGTGTGGTTTAAATTGACACAGTATCTTAAAATGACACCGTTGCAACGGTTGCTTTTATGAAATATATTGGTTTTGGATATAAATTTGAAACATAATGTAATTTGGTGGGACCTATGTTAGAGTTTTAAGTAAGTAGTATGAATATTTATAAAATATAATTAAGTGGTTTAAATATATTATATTAGATGAGACCCACCTATAAAACCAACATGAGTAATATGAATGTGACTGCCCTAATAACACCCATGCATAACCCTATCTTGAACTCAAAACCTATTAAACCCTTACTATTTTATCTAAGTAATATTGTGGATAGTTTATTTGCTTAAATTAAAATACCAATATCACTTCTTTTAATTTCAAATCGAGTCATAAAATAATCAACCAAAAGACAGTATCAGACATCAATTCTTTAACAGCAATACAAATTCGTTGTGATTGGGGAGCCAAGACAACCCACACACTGGCCTTTTTTTTCTTACTTAATCCTAATAATCACTTTTACAAACTCAATCAGTGCTGCTATTTCATTGCAAATTCCAATGGCTAAAAAAATTATAAACAATTACTTGTATTAATTAGTATTATATTATACATATGAGAAATATTATATTATTGATTACTAATTCATAAAGCTCCTAAAAAGATAGCGTGAAATATCATTTAACTCCCTAAAGTACATTAAACTGTACAATTTTAAAATAGCTTTTAAAATTAAAATACTAAGTTAAATTTATCCTTTTAACTAATTCAAAAGATTTCATTTATATATATTTAAAACAATTATGTTAGTTGATTTATAGATGAATGTCATTGAATTTGATGGGAAAATTACAGTCTAATCTCGAATCAGAACTCGTCTCCTACAATAAAATATTTATAATTTTGGAAATAATTAAAAGCTTTATTAATTTTAAAGAAAAGTGAAAAAATAAAAAATAAATTAGAATGATGATGGAACACAGCGTTGCTAAAGTAAAAGGAAAGGGTATCTGAAAATTGAATTCGGTTATTGTTGGCTTGATCAAATCAAAGAAACTTCACTTTCTCTCTCTTAATCGCAACCAAACACCGTGTAGAGAGAGAAAGCGAAAATTCCGATAGATCATCGCTCCAATGGGTACGCTTCAGTCATGGCGAAGAGCTTACGGCGCCATCAAAGACACTACCAAAGTTGGTCTCGCCCATGTCAATAGCGATTACGCGGTACCAATTTTTTTTTATTCTTTTGTATTTTGATGAATGAATCAATGGATGAAATCAATATTTGATTTGAATTGATTTGAAATTGATTTCTATTATTAGGATTTGGATGTTGCTATAGTCAAAGCCACTAATCACGTAGAGGTTCCACCCAAAGAGAGACACCTAAGAAGTGAGTGATTCTTGGGATTCTTATTGTTCAGATCCGAATTCTATGTTTTGGATTTTTCGTTTTTGTGATGAATGGATCGTGAAATTTGAATTTTATTTATTTATTTATTTTTGTAGAAATTCTGTTTGCAACTTCTGCCGTTCGACCTAGGGCTGATGTTGCTTATTGCATTCACGCACTTTCACGACGTCTTGCCAAGACCCGAAATTGGACGGTAGTTACTTTAATTTTTGTGATCAATTGCAACTTACAGTTTGATTTTCTAGATTTTCTGTTACAAATGAATGTGAATCTTAGGGTTGTTTAATTTCTAATGCTAATAATATTTTGGAATTTCATTTTTTCCATCTTTACTTTGTAAACGACATTTGATTATGGATTTTCATTTCTGAATGTGATAGAGAGAGGATGAAAGTTAACTAGAGAGAATGCATTTTCGAAATTACTGAGAACATTTAATTGGTTTTCTTTTATAATAATTTTCATAAATATTCAATCTAGTTTTAAAATAAATTTTCAGAAACTTCCATAATGCTGTTTCCAATGTTTATTTTATCAGTGAAAATGAAATTCAATCTATTTTTAAAATAATTTTTCAGAAACTTCCATAATGCTGTTTCCAATGTTTATTTTATCAGTGGAAATGAAAATAGGAAACATTTGAAGTAAACGGGCCTATGTTTTCTGAAATTCCCTTTTTAACTTGATGCAGTGATATGTTGGGTTTGTGGCATTTGATTTCAAAGAATAGTTTCTTACTATCAAATTCAATTTAAATTAGTGTTAGACATGTGATTTTTGTATTATTAGATGAATGTGACTCTGATAGTTTTTTGACTTACAAGTAAGTAGTTTGCAATTTAGGCTTTTCGTCTGAGCATTTTGGTTTGTGATAACTTTAACAATTAACACGCTTTTTAGTGGCTGTACTAAAGTATATGTAGGCATGTCTCTGTTAAATCTAAATCACATAAAAGAACATATGACGGTAACACAGTTTTTAATTGGATGTATTCTGATAGACATTAGTTGTGTCATTATGGATGAGTGGGGCTATCTTGCTATAAAGGAGTGGAGCGGAGACTGACTGCTATGGGAAGAGCCTTAGTGGTGCAGAACACTATAGCGGCCGCTATAGGGTAAATAGCGGGTAGCGGGGGCAGGGAGTGGTACCCGGTCCGGAGCGGTTTCTGTCCCACTATCCTTTTCCCCTTTGAAAAACCAAAATTACCCCTTAAATTCAAAATGTTTTATGTGTAATTTTGGGGTTTTCAATCAAATTTGAGTTGAGACTGAACTCTAACCTTCCTTCATTGACATAACTGCACTTTACGGTGCCAAAGAAAAATCACAAGTTCCTCCCTCACCTTTCTCTGCACTTCGTTCTTCCCTCTTCACTTCATATGTTTATAACTATTATTCATGTAATTTGTCCAAAAAATGATCAAATAGCGGCCATCCTGCTGTACACTATCTTACTATCCCATTTTTAGGGTCGGCAGCTCTGCGTTGCTATCCGGGATTAACTACTCTGATTAGTATATTAAACTTCTATACATGTAGCTTCAAAACGACAAAATTTAATTATTATTTGATAATGGTTGGTAACATTTGGCCTAGATGACACCAAATGGTGGAAGGAAGTTTGTATCAAGGATTCAGATCAGTTTGAATGATGGATGTTTAGTGGATCGTCCACTTATTTGATAATTCCAGTTCATCTTGCTATTAAAAAACGCATTTTCCTTGGATTCTGTTAAATGTATGCATTGTATTTTAATTCACTAATTTCAAACATGTTATGGTGCTTTCATCTTCTGTTTTTCTCCCAAAAATAATATATTAGAGGATCGAGCATTGTTTTGATGTCCAGCCTTCCTTTGTCTTGTTTGCAGGTGGCATTAAAAACACTGATAGTCATCCATAGGTTACTAAGGGAAGGAGATCCAACTCTTAGAGAGGAAATTGTGAATTTCTCACAGAGAGGACGGATTCTCCAACTTTCAAATTTTAAGGATGATTCTAGTCCAATTGGTTAATATTTTGACCTTATAATCTTTATACGTCGTTGTTTACTGTAACTTGGGCTCAATTTGAGGCTTTCAACAGTTATTCTTTGAGTGATATTCTTGCAAAGATATTTGATTAACATGTATAATTTGTCTGCTTGAATGATTTTATTTGCTTGCAGCCTGGGATTGTTCTGCCTGGGTACGTACCTATGCATTATTTTTGGAAGAAAGACTCGAATGCTTTCGGATTCTTAAGTATGATATTGAGGCTGAGCGTCTACCCAAAGCTTCCCAAGGACAAGAGAAGGTAATTCAATAACCAGTAACCAGTTATTGTACTCCTTTGTGATAATAGATCTAGTTTCCGGTATGTAGCATATGATATTGGTTTTTGTGAATTGAAGGGTGTCTGTATAAAAATGAATACTAAGCCTAAGTTGAGTACTACATTTGCCCTTCCCTTGGCTTCACTCATCCAATTTCTAGTGAAATGTTGGTGTGTTTCAGATATGTGTTTGCACATCATCACTATTATTTCAAATGCTTTCTGAAATTGGTTTTTCTCATCCATCTGATAATGAACTCCTTTTGACAATTTTACACATTACTCTGCTTTTTGAATATTAATTATTTAGATGCTCAACTATAACTGTTTAAATGATCCTTCACACGTAATGCATCCTGGTGAACACTTGGCATATCTTTCACCCTTTAGTGGTTTTAGCAGGAAGACAGCCCTTTGTGCGTGTCTGTTTGTAAGTTTTTTGTATCTTCTTTAGTGTAACGGTGTTATACTCATCAATACTGTAAACGACTTGATAGTCTTTTTTCTCCCTTCAAATTTTTTTTTGACTTTTTCTTTCACCCAAGAAAAGTCCTCAAAGGACCCATTAGAATTTTTAATTTGTAATTTGGTCCCTATATGCAAAAAAAATAGTTAGTTGGGTCACTCCTTCCGCCATGGTGATCTAATGCTAATAGCTAACATATTTAAATACTTTTGAAATTATAAAAAAAGTTAAAATCATTTAGTGATCTAAATCTATGGATTTAATTTGAACTCTTTTTCAATTCAAAATTTCACCGGTTACTGGTAGGAGTAGGACTCGTATAACTTTATGTTTGTAGATACTGTAAGGAAATAAATTGATTAGGTAGGAATAGAGGAAGGAATGCAAAATGATAATTTTATTTAACATTATTGGAAATGGCTATATTTCTGATTTAAATTGCTCAGCATTGCTGATTGATGCTCCTAAAAGTTTCTAAATGATTAGTTGTGGATTATTGTCTATCTTCATTTTCGTTGCATGTAGCTTTCTCATTGTTTACTACCTCTATTTTTTATTATAAGTTAGTTTTGACCATTTCACACGTATTAGTAAATATAGTAATTGTTGTATGAAAATGAGAAATTGTGGAGGATTTTACAAAATTAGTCTTCATTAATGGTATGAAAAAGATAAATTAAATCATGGAAAGAAGAGAATAATAAATAATTAAGAGTATAATAGGAAGAGTAACATTAATGATTCATAGGTATTGTAAAACAACTTATAATTTAGTTTAATTTATTTTTCTTAAGTGACTTGTAATAAAAATGAAGGGAGTACTATTTTTGTTTTCAAAAAGCCTTAATGTTTATTTTGTTTTTAAGCAGGGACACAGCAAGACCAGGGATTTAGATAGTGAGGAGCTATTGGAGCAGTTGCCTGCTTTGCAACAGCTGCTATATCGACTTGTTGGTTGTCGGGTAATAATGTGAAACATGAGGATATTTATTATCTTTGTATGTTGTTTATAATCTGATCAATACTGAACACATCAATTTGGTTTACATATTTTTTTGTACTGTTTTTTGTACTGCCACTTTCTTTTAGATGATAGAAACTGATTGAATGCTATGCTGTGCATTTTACAGCCAGAAGGAGCAGCTGTTAGCAATTATGTGATACAATATGCTCTGGCTCTGGTATGTCTTCTAGTCTATTCATATAAAGTCACTTTTGTATTAGGGGAGTCACTCTGAAATTACAGATAGATTGGTGAGTATACATATACATGTATATAGGCGTGGCAGGACTGTCAGGGGATTCCTTGTTTGACTGAGACTTTATTGGTTTATCTTCCAATCAATGTTTTAGAAACTCGACTAGATGTTGAAACAGTGACCTTTGGGTCATGGTTCAATTGTGAATGATTGGGTCTATAACTTTTAACTGGACTAGAACCACTTTGGAATATCTGTGACCATTTATATACATTTTTCCATTTAAGTGGGATCCTCCCCTCCATATTAGACTGTTATGGTTGGAATTGGTTTCTAGATATCTCTAATAATCTGTTTAGGATAGGGTGAGAAGTTAGATGATCCCTTCCCTTGCTTATGGTTATGAATTTGGTTTGAGGGTATGATCACCTTTTTGATTAATGAGGCATTTTAAGTTTCATTTCATGTTTGTTTGTTACATTTGTAAATATTAACTATTATAACATGTATTAGAGGTATATAGTTTTTAAATTTGTTGTAGTTAGATGCACCTTAATCACTTTATTTTTTGTTGTTGATCTGGCTTTGGCTCATTCTAGGTACTGAAAGAGAGCTTTAAGATTTATTGTGCTATTAATGATGGCATTATCAATCTTGTTGACAAGGTAAATTGACTGATCCTTATCTATGTGATGTGATTAAGTTGAAATAAAAGATGTTTTATGTTGGAAAGTGAATTTCCCTGTAGTTTTTTGAGATGCCAAGACATGAAGCTATTAAAGCCCTTGAAGCCTATAAACGTGCGGGACAACAGGTGATAATTTGTTTCTCTTTCGGTTAACCGTTAGGCTTTTACATTTTTAATTTCAGTGGTTTTAAAATACCATTGCCAGGCAGCAAGCCTTTCTGATTTCTACGAGGTTTGCAAAGGATTGGAACTTGCTAGGAATTTTCAGTTTCCTGTCTTAAGAGAGGTAAGTCTGTAGTTATTTCAATTTCATGCATTGATTTAACGAGTTCTTCCTATTTCATTTTTATTATGGAGTTCCTATTGCTTTATCTATTGTTTTTCCTTTTAGCCCCCGCAATCGTTTCTTACAACTATGGAAGAGTACATTAGGGAGGCACCCCGAGTGGTTTCAGTTCCCAATGAGCCCATGGTTAGTTCATCATTTATTCTGTTCTACTCAAAGCAATGCTTCCTAGAAATCAATTTACACTTTTCCTTGGAATATTAATTTTACATTTGACTTCTAGACCAGTAATTTGTTTGTATCAACAGCTTCAGTTGACTTACAGACCAGACGAAGTTCTTGCAATTGAATACACCAAAGAGTCTGAAGAACAGATGCCATCAGAACCTGAACCTATTGATAATAATGTTGTTGTCCCCAATTCTGAGCCTGCTCCGCCTCCCCCACCACCATCTCACAACAATTTTGACACTGGAGACTTGCTGGTAAATTACTTGATCCATACATATCTGCAGTTAATATTTTTTTAGGACTTTTCTAATTCGTTTCCTTAATGTAGGGATTGAATGACCCGGAACCTAATGCATCATCCATAGAGGAAAGAAATGCTCTTGCGCTGGCCATAGTATCCACCGAAAATGGTGAGCTTTGTTTTTAGTTTTCTTCACAAACTTTGCTGCTTAACAAGGTTTAATGGATTGTTTTTATCATCTATTAAATGTGAGTGTTTTGTGAATATAGGCACTGCATCAGCTTTTAACTCTAGTGCTGCTCAAACAAAAAATTTCGACCCCACTGGATGGGAGCTTGCCCTGGTTAGCACTCCAAGTACAGATATTTCTTCAGTCAATGAGAGACAATTGGTAGGACCTTGCAACCTTTATATCTTATAATCATAAATTACTGCACCATATGATTTCTATAGTACAATATTTTTATGCTGGCAAATATTGAATTTATTGTGGCATGCATAAACAACAAATATTATTACATTGTTCTAGAATCTATTTGATGGCATAAGTTCATGATGCACAAAGTTCTGGGTTAATGCATGCATACACTTTTTCACAAATCTCTGTTTTTTTCAAGTCATTTGATCTGTGAACATTTTCTTTTTCTGATACCCAAAGGGTCCACATATTAATATCACCATGTCTAATAAAATAACTGTGTAGACTATCTGCAGTGATTGATTAGTACATCATAAATCCCCTAGCTTCAGTTTGTTTACCATTCTATTTTTTTTTGTCATGGAATGTCAGGCTGGTGGACTGGACTCTCTCACTCTTAACAGCTTATATGATGAAGGTGCGTATAGAGCTGCACAGCAACCAGTTTATGGATCACCAGCTCCAAATCCATTTGAAGTTCATGATCCATTTGCTGTATCAAGCAGCGTCGCTCCCCCAACTGCTGTCCAAATGGCAGCAATGCAACAGCAAGCAAATCCATTTGGTCCCTATCAACAGTTTCCGCCTCAGCCGCATCAGCAGCAGCATATGTTGATGGACCCAGCAAATCCCTTTGCTGATTCAGGATTTGGAGCTTTTCATGCAAATCCCGTTTCTCACCCCCAGAATAACAATCCATTTGGAAGCACAGGCTTGTTGTAAGAAATAAGGATGCCCCTTTTTGGAGATGTTGTGTATTTAATCAATCATGTTTTTTTTTCTTTTTGTACATTTAGAAGTGAGTAAGTTGTTTGTTACACGAGTTTACTCATCTGTTGCTAGATACTCATCTTCTGGAATGGAAGGTGCCTTGTAAAATCAAAGATGTATTTCATCTTTTATGATATATGCATAATGGTGGGATCGCTTTCTTTAAATATCATTATTTTATGATTTAATACATGTTTATATTATGTGAATGTACAGATAATGTGTTACATTTTTAATTGCTGCCTTGCTGGTTTTACTTGGTAATTGTCATTGTCAATGGTTCAGATTCTACAAGAACACTCGAATACTGTCATGACTCAGAATGTGTCAGTTTTGACTTTTTATCCCATAGACATGGAGGAAGAAGGGGAGGGGGTATAGCGTACTAAAATATAAAAATACAGCGTGCTACCATTATATCCGTTGCAAATAAAAAGCGCGGTTTAATTTAATAAAGATATAAAATACACGTCTATGGATACTAAGCATATAGAAAAGTTTGTCATAACTAATAGACGTGTATGAGAGAAGCAGCAGCATGGCCAATACATGAAGGCTAAGCTCTGAAGAAGCAGCCAGACTCGAGAAATACGAACCAAAGAGTACACGAAGGCTGGAGTTATGAACCAAGGACAACGAAATAATGGTAGTCAAGGTAAGGGCGGACCAAAGAGTACACGAAGGCTGGAGATATGAAACAAGGACAAAGAAATAATGGTAGTCCAGGTAAGGGCAAATACAAGGGAAAAACAACGAAACAAAACTGACATTCACACACTTGGAATTTAACATCAAAGAGGATGAGCCGAGTAGATTCAAGAAAGTTTTTATTGGGATTGTGGAGAGTCTGAGAATAATTTACAGCATTCAAGACATTTTCAACATGAAGGATTATTTTGCGATTCAAGTCACTTCTGTTTGAGGAACGTGAAGAAGGTCAAATCAATGCACCGGTAGCAGATGATATTGACTGGTTTAGGCATTGGTTTTAGAGAGATTAGAGAATGGAGAGCTTTAGATGTGAACAAGGAACACGTTACTTGGCTTAAGGTTTATGGAGTCCTTTGTCATATGCATGGAGCCTATATTTTTTTGAGCTCATCTTTGCACAAGTGGGCATGTATATGTGCTATGATGACAATACTAGATGTCAAGTGAAGATGGATGTGGCGTGTATCATGGTTAGGATAAAAAGATTTATAGTTATGAATGAGGTATTTAATGTACATATTAATGGAGAGGTTTTCAGAATCAAAGTGGTGGAGGATTCACACGAACCATCTAGGATCAACATAACCTTGAATTTTGAGATTGAAAAGAGATCTTTAGAATCAGATTCTGATGACGATTGGGAAGTACAAGACGTTAGCTTAGATGGCAAGGAAGGTGGTGATAGAGGCATTCTCAAAACTATCAGACATGACCATTGTCCAGGAAAAAATAATCAGACCGACGAGGCATTAGTGGTCTACGAAAAGACAACTAAAGAAATAGTAACAATTAGAAGTTGAAGAAAGGTTTGATGGGTAAAGTAAGTGATAAAGGGTCAAATCAAAAGAGGCGTGTGTAGAAAGGTTAATTGTGGGTAAAAAGGAATAGGAAAAGTTGACGCTGAAAAGGAGAGGAGCAAAAGCACGTGGAAAGTAGAGAGATAAAGGTTCTCTAATGAGATTCATTCTAAAAGTGTGGAAGGTGTCATAATTCTAAAAAGGGATCAAAGTGGAAGCGCTGAGTTAGGTTGTTCTAAAGAGGCGAGCATTCAAGCAATTATATGTGGGTCTGATAAGTCTCCTAACAGGCTGGCCTAATCCAATAGACCCATCTAAATCTTGAAAGAAATTAGGGGTTAATCGATTTATGTAGTGACCAAACCTTCAAATTACTCAGCACAATTACCTCCCAAGCATTTCATCCAAAAACCTTAAAGGTGCCATCTCATTCTAACCTCTTTGACTCAACAATGGAAAGATTCTCAGGTGGCTCAACTTTATGATGCAAATCAACATCAAATTCAGACGTGATTCAAGGAAATAGATTTTGGGCAAATATGGAAAAAGGCGTGGCAATTAAGATTTGGAAAAAGGTTGTAGATCTAGGAGTGAAAGGTGTAGATGAAGACAATGTCTATATGGAAGAGATTAGAGAGATGGAGAAGAGAGTGATCTAAAGGGGAAAAGTTCGTGGGAAGTTAAATCAAAGGGTGTGTTATGAATATCCTATCATATAACATACGTGGGTGTGACAATCTTATTAAAAGGAATGGAGGCATCAATCAAGGTTGCAAATGAGTTGTCACAGGTTTCGACTGAGGTAGTAGTCAATCGAATGGGGGCATCAATCAAGGTTTGGGAGAAGTTGCAGCATAAAGAATCCATCCTCAGGAAGGAATCTAGATATAGGTGGTTCATGAGGCTCATTAAAATTCTAAGTTCTTCCATTTAGTAATGAAGAAGAGATTTTATAGGAATGACATTTTGGCGCTAAACTCTGATAGTGGCAAATTGGAGGAAGTGGATGAGGTCAAGTTGGAAATTCATAATCAATTCTAGAAGAGATTTCAAGAACCTAAAGCTAGAAGACCAAAGCTGATGGGGTGATTTTTAACTAACCTTATGAGGTTGATCGAAATATGTTGGAGGAGTATTTTACTCAAGAGGAAATAAAGGAAGTTGTGTGGCATTGTGATGGTGAAAAAAGTCATGAACCAGATAGGTATAATATGAGATTCTTCAAGAAGTATTAAGAGTTTCTTAAGGGAGATATATCTGATTTAGTAAATGAATTTTATGTCAAATGTAAGTTGCCAAGGCCATCACAACGACATTTTTTAATCCAAACTTCAAACTTACTTAACCCTCAAGTACTTAATGAATTCAGACCAATATGTCTTGTAGGACCTCTCTAGAAAATCATATCTAAGATTATAGCAGCAAGATTAAAGAAGGTTGTGGGATCCCTTATCTCTATTTGTTAATCAACCTTCATTCCAAAGAGACAAATGTTAGATGAGGTGCTGGTCATTAATAAAGTGGTGGATTTTGCAAGAAGAAATAAAAAATAACGTTTATTGATGAAGGTAGATTTTGAGAAGGCCTATGATCGTGTGTCATGAGAATGCCTTAGATATTTAATGAGAAGAATAAAATTTGAATATAAATGACAAAAGTGGATGGAAGTTTGCGTATTTTCAAGTAGCATGTCTGTCCTGGTGAATGGTAGCTTAACAAAGGATTTTCAAATATGGAGAGGTTTGCATCAGGGGGACCCCTTATCACCTTTTTGTTCTTACTTGCAATAGAAGGTCTTGCAGGCCTAATTAAAAATGCCATTCAACTAGGCGAATTTCAAGCTTTCGAAGTGTCTAAGAATTTATACTTTAAAATGCTTCAATTTGTAAATGACACATTAATCTTGAGCGAGAGTTGTTGGAAAAACTCGTTGAGCATAAAGGCATTAGTACTATGTGGATTTGAGTTGGTGTTAGGATTATGTGTGAACTTCTTCAAGAGCAAGATCATATGCATCAACTTGAAAGAACGTTTTGTGCAATCAACCTCAACATTTATCTCTTGTGACATAAGCTCCGTAGGTATTAATCTTAGGAGGAGATCATCTTAGACTCCAATCATGCAAAGCTTGGTAACTATCTTTCTTCTTCTTGGAAGGGTAGACAATTGTACATAAGGTCGAGTGGTGCTTAGGGATGGCAATTTGGCGCATATCTACTGGGTACCACAAAAAATATCCATAATAGGTAGGTAAAAACTTGTAAAATGGGCTTGAGTATGCGCACAAATAAATATTCACTTAAATAAGCGGATATGAGTGTGGATACGAGTACCTTAATACCCAACAGCCTCATACCCACACAATATATATTTATATTATTATATAAAAATGCATGTCTATTAATTTAAAAAAAAACCATAAAGTACAATTTTTTTAAATATAAATGTGTGTTTATTTTATAATTCAACAATAAAATCTTAGATTTTTTTTAAATGATGTTAATAAACTTTAAAATATTTTATATTTTATAATTGATCGATTTTTTTTACTATAAATTCGAATAATAAGTAAAGGTGTGAGTACTTATGTACAAGATATGGGTACGAGTATACACATTGACGTCCATGCAAGTATGTGCTCGGATATAATTTTTTTTTAAAACTCAGATATAAAAATAAATATTATAATATCCTGCTCAAATCCTATCTATTATCCTCTTGAATGGTACTTTTGAATTATGTGTTTGGAAGCTATAATGTAGGTCTCATATCTTGCATTCTTGTGCAGTAGTATAGGAGAAAAAAAAGTAACTAAGTATTAAATTTGTTAAGCTTAATGAAGAATCAGTTTGGGCACGCTTAGTGGCTATTGCCTAACAAGTGCATTATACTTTGATGGCAACTGTTGTGTCCCGGTGTGTCTGTGCATGCATATGTACTTGGGATGGTAAGGCATCAAAGTGTGAATAATAATAATAATAATAATAATAATAATAATAATAGAAAAAGAGAGAGTAACAAAACAAAGAAAAAACACATTGGAAGGAGGAAAAAGCAAGATAAATATTAGTAGAAAAACATATTGTCCCACATCTTCCAACACTTTGAAGTCATCATCATTAAAAGTTTAAAACCACATCTTTCATGTAAGTTACTTGTAGATTTCTCATTTGCGTGTTCTCTATTTTTCTAATCTTTTCTTTTTATATTTTAAATATTTATATTTATTGCTTCAGGAACTATTGGTATCCAATTATTAGGTAACACTTCAATTATTGTTACTTGTTACTGCCTTTTCTATGATGTAATTTAAAAAAAAAAATATTATAATAGAATCCTAAGTTTTAAAATAAGAGCAAAAATAGTATTCCTAATACACCTATGATGCTTAACGATGGATGAAATTCAATTCTATAATTGACAAGATTTCAGACATAATAATGA